GTTTGAAAATTGATGAACTAGACACCGCACTTAAGAGGTTAAAAATATAACAAGCCTTCTAAAAATCAAAGCAAAGTGTTAGTCACTCAGTCATATCCATCTCTTGCGACCCCATGGACTGTAGCCCACAAGGCTCCTCTGTCCATGGAATTCTCCAGGCAAGAATACTGGAGTGGGTTGCCATCCCCTTCTCCAAGGGATCTTCCCAACCCAGGGATCGAACCCAGGTCTCCTGCATTGCAGGCAGATTCTTTACCATTTGAGCCACCAAGGAAGCAAAGAAAATAATAAAGGAAACAACTAGAAGCTAGAAAACTAGGAAACCATAGAGCTAAATCAGCAAGCTAAAAATTGGTTCTTTGAAAAGATTTTTTAAAATCTGACAAATTCTGGCAAGCATAATAAAATACAACCTTAGGAATGAAAGGGAACATAAATAGAAGGTGAAGAAAATTTTTTTAAAAGTAAGAGGTTGTTATGAAAAATCCTATGTCAATAATTTTAGGAAGAAATGGATAAATTCCTATAAAATATAAATCACCAAAAATGACTCACACAGAAACAGAAAATCTCAAAGGTCCTATAAACATTTTTAAAAATTGTATCAGCAGTTTAAAATATCCCCAAGAAGAATACTAAGTCTAGACAGTTTTACAAATGAATCTACCAAAACCTTCACGCAACAGATAATGTCAGGCTTTTGTCATTTATTCAGAGACTAGAAAAAGAGCAAATATGCCTCAAGTCATTTTAGAAGATTAGTATTATCTAGACACCAAAACCTGAAAAAAAAAGTATCAGAAAAAGAAGTCCCAAGCCATTATCATTCATAAAAATTGATGCAAAAAAATTCCTAAGCTAAATATTTGCAAACTGAACCCAGCAATGAAGAAAAAAGATAATGTAACATGACCAGGATAAATAGTTTCAGAACTGCAAAGTTGTTTCAGCATTAAAAAAAAATAAACTATTAATATAATTCACCACATTAACAGATTAAAAGAGAAAAAACATATGATCACTTCAACAGATCCATAAAGAACATTCAATAAAATGTAACATCATTCATGATAAAAACTTCTAGCTTGCTAATAATCACTCAGCTTATAAATTTCAGAGTTGGTGGAGAAACATAAATATTCCATTTTAACTTATAAATTTCAGAGTTGGTGGAGAAACATAAATATTCCATTTTAAATTAGATCAGATAAGAATACTCTCTATTATCAGTTATACAAAGTATTAAACTTATGGTCCTAGTCAGTACAGTCAGACAAGAAAAGCAAATAGCTAAAAAGAAAAAGAAATTACAAGTACACAGAAGAATCAAAAATTTTAAAGAGCCAGTTCTTTGGATGAAAAATAACCATAAAATAGATGAAATGCTATTAAGCCTAATGAAGCAAAAAATAAAATAGCATAAATTACAAAATCAGGAATGAACAGATAAAAAACAGAACAGATACAGAAGCATTTTATTATAGTAATATGTGCAAATCCACACCAATGTAATAAACAATATCTGATGATGTCTAACACACCAAATTGAAGATGTAGAAAGTGATCAAAGAACCTCCTCCCAAAAATAGATGCTGGGCCCAGTGTTACAAAATGAGTACAGAACAGACACATCTTATCCAATTGAATAAAATACGTATTCTGGAAGATCTTCTATAATTCAAAACTCACATCTTACAACCACCATTTTCAAGAGAAGATGATAGGTATCCTGTTTACCAGCTAAACCATAAATACAATTCATTTGGCCACCACCTTTTAAATTACATGACTATTAATCATTTTTTAAATTTAGATTGATTCACAATATTACACATTTTATACACAAAACAAGGCTATTAAAATACCATGCAATTTCCAACTTGCATGATTGAAATTCATAAAGAATCGCTCTCGTGTAGTTTCAAACCTTTAAACAATCGTTCTCATCTCTTAGAGACTGTTTAAGAGCACAGAAAAAGAGAGTACACCTCAGAAAATATATTATGAAACTCATTTAAAACCCTGATGGCAAAACCTAACAAAGACAACCTAAAAGTAATACATATGAACAAATACGCAAAAATCCTACATAAATAATAACAAATCTAACTCAATAACTAACACATACCAAAACTTCTCCTTACAAACTTCCCCTTCACCAGGATTAACAAAAACTAACCAGTCTCTCTGCTAACAATTGAAGGTCCAGAGCAGATGAAAGCCTGCAGCTAATCTAATTTATCCACTGCAGCTCCCAGAGATGAGCTGAATGTTCACCAAGAATTGTTTGTTCCCAAATCTGCTCATTCCACTTGTATTAATATTGTAATTGGATCAATAAGCATTATAAATACATATAATTTTAATTTTAAAAGAAAGGGCATTTTATCTATGAAAATTAATTTAGTGCTATTGATGTTTTTTAATGGTAAAAATTAAGTATGAGTGAAGTGACCAAAAAAAGGTGTGAGGGATCTTAAACCTTAAAAGAACTCCACATTCAGGTTCTTTTGCACCTACCATTAAGATCTCAAAAACTTTAATAAACCTAAAGGAAAAATAATAAATATGCATTTTAGATGTGTTTTATACCAGAAGGACAACATAACACCCAAATAGCAGACTCAAATTTAAAGAGGCCTTGGCATATGTCAAATGATTGTCAAATGAAGATACATGGATATGATTAAAAAGAAAATGTTTATGGTACTTATATTTGATTTTAATGAGATCCTATTAAACTGACTTTTTCAGTTAGCCAACCAACTACCTATCCTGATTGACTGCATAAGAAGACTTCATTTGTAGTCAGCTATAATACCATGACCACTTGACTGATTTGGGTTTACCTCAGGAATGCAGGACAATTATATACATCAATATATATGTATATGAACAGAACAATGGAAAACAAAATGATCATCTTGATAAATGGCACTGGATAATATTAAACTCCCATATCTAATTTTTAAGCCATTAATCTTGTGGTTCAGCTGGTAAAGAATCCGCCTGCAATGCCGGAGACCTGGGTTCAATCCCTAGGTTGGGAAGATCCCCTGGAGAAGGAAAAGGCTGCCCACTCCAGTATTCTGACCTGGAGAATTCCATGGACTGTATAGCCCATGAGGTCGCAAAGAGTCAGACACAACTAAGCGACTTTCACTTTACAAAATCAAAAATATCTACCTGAAACTACCAATCATTATCATAATTAATTAATGGGAAATGACAGAGAATTTCTCATTAGAATCAGTAACTAAATAAGTTTGCTCACTAGCATCTCAATTACCAAATGTTATTCTGAAAAAAGGAATAAGGTAAAACTATTACAAAGAAAGTGACATATTTATTATTGTTTGAAGAAAACAACCTTAGCTGCTTGAAGAATTCAACTGGATCAATTAGCCACTGTCAGAAGTAACAAAGACACTTAATAAAGAATCTGTTTCAAAGTAAATATACAAAAAAATGTTGTTTTCCATATTCTAGCAATAACCAGCTAGACAAAATAATAAGAAAAAAAAGATACCATTTGGGTAGCAAAATAGGCTATAAAGTGCCTAGGAATAAACTTAACAAGAAATGCACTAGACCTATTTAAAGTAAACTAAAAATAACTCTTCTAAGGGACATAAATTAAGACAATTATAAAAATTAAGAAATTAGGACTTTCCTGGTGATCCAGTGGTTAAGAATCCACCTGTCAATGCAGGGGACACGGGTTCAATCCCGGTCCAGGAAGAACCCACATGCTGCGGAGCAACTCAGCCCAGGCACCACAACCACCAACACCCACACACCCTGCAGACTGTCGCCACTGCAGGGAGAAGCCCGTGCGCCGCAACAAAGAGCGCCCACTCGCTGCAACTGGAGAGAACCCACACGCAGCAGCAAAGACCCAAATGCAGTCAAAAAGAAATACACAATTTTTTAGTCTTTTTTTAAAAAAGAAATTCAATGTCCTGCGATGGGAGAAGAGTTAAAACTTTATGGATATCCATACAATGGAATGACATGCAAACATTTTGTCAAGAATATAAACATATGGAAAAACATCTACAATACAATTTTCTTTTAAGTAAAAGAAAATTCAGATTTTTAAAGTATGATGAGATTCAGGTTTTATTTTTTAAGTAATTAATGTGCATAAGAGATACCTATAAATATAGGCACATCAAAATCTTAAGTGTTCATCTCCAACTGGTAGGAATACAGGTGGTTTTAACTTTCCTGCCTTATACTTTATTGTATTTTCTGTATTTTCTACAACAGATAAATCAGAAAACACTTAAAATATAGATTGCCTCCTCCTAGAAGCCATAAAGCACCCAATATAGCAATGCCTCCTCTTGAACCATGAATGAAATTTTACTTTCAGAAGGTCCTATATCTTAGGTTCCCCCTACAGGCCTGGGGCTCCCCTTGGCCCTCAGCATGGGACTTCGGGAGTGCATATTGAAAGCTAGACACAACCGCCATCTTCCTGGAAGGACCCATGATCCTTAAAGATAACACCTAGGAAATCAGCTCAGGAGGACAGAAGGAGCACTCATGGGAACTGCAGGTGTGAACTGTGGGCCCCAGCAGACCACTCAGCGCCTGCTAGGGATGGCCAGGGTTCTGCAGTATCACTTGCCTCTTGCTCACAGAGGCCTCTCATGTCCCACATCCCAGCAGTCAGAGTCCAGAGACTTCCCCGTTTCCCCTGGCCCATGCAATCCCAACCAAGACCCCAGCCCTCACACAGGGAAGCAGGATTAAGGTAAATCCCAGGATGCACCAAGAGATAATTCAGACTCATGTTTCTGAGAATCTTCCCTTAGCTTTCTCCCCACCCCTCCATTACTGCGCAGGGCAGGTTAACTGTTTTCTGTCAGGGCTCAGAAAACTCCTTTCTTCCCCTCCCACCCCCACCTCCTCTGCTCCCTTCCTAACTCCCTAACCCCACCCAGTCCCCCCGGGGAAATCAAGGTGCCCCCAAATAGGTAAACAATACATACATGAAGACTGGATGGAGAAGATGCCATGTTAGTGGGGGCCAAGCCCGACAGACCATCTGCAAACTACAAATTAAACACGCTGGTTAGCAACAGGATTAGAAAAGCCACGTCAGGGAAGACTGGGTGGTCCCAAGGAAGCAGAACTCTCCACGTAGGCACCCTCTGCTCTCTCTCCAGGGAGGCTACAAAAGCTGTGGGAGGAATGTGTGCTTTGGAGTTGGACAAGTGTGGCCCCAAATCCTGGCCCCAGTGCTCTATGTGACCCTGAGCTCTCTGAGTCAGCATCTCCATCTGGAGAATGGGCACAAAGCCTTGAACTGTCGCAGAGCAGCAGCGAGTGTGGATGAGATGAAGGCTGAGCATGCCAAGGACAAGGTGAGGCACCTGCGAGGGCTCAGTCCTTGCCTGTCTCCTGCCTGCTTTCTTAGAGCCCTGGGCACTGCTGACCGCACTCTCACAGGCCCTCCCAGCCTTTCAGGCATCCCGACCTCAGACATCCACCAAGCTCCGCATCATCACTGGTGGTTTCCCCTAAGAGCTGAGCCACGCCAACCCCTGCTGGGGCACCATTCCTAAGCCAGTGCAGGTTTCTGAGTCTGCCCTTGAGGACAGACATCAGGGCATCATACGACTTTGCCCCAAACCAGCCTCATAAACACATCACCTCTTAACACAGCAAACCTACTGCCTTCTTTGGCACCAGATCCTTGCCTGCAATCTCGCGGTATGGTGAATCCACACCATGGATGAATCCTTGGGCTGCAGGGTCCAGGAGAGCCTTGGTGGGGGTCAGGGCTACAGGCAGGGTAACATTTTGGGGGACCACTAAAATAGCCCTCGGGAAGGTGATGGGGTCCTGGGGGGAACACATTCCTGTCTAGATGGAGGTGGCCAGGAGATGCCTTGTGGGCAGAGGAGAGAGGAGCTGTGAAGGGCAGAGGTGTGAATAAAAAGCAGCACCGCCAGGCTAAACAGTCCAGGGAGGCAGGTGAATGGGGTGTGACTGGAGCGGGGAGGAGACAAGTGGGGACCCAGAGCTGCCAGGAGGGAGACCCTCTCTCCTTTCGGCCTGGAGCAAGGGGCTCTGGGAGTCTCCACAAGTGGCCAAGCCCCAGTGTCCTTCCTTCCTCGGCAGGAAGGTGCAGGGAGACGCACTCGCCCAGGGTCAGGGAAACGCAGAAGAAGTAGTCTGGGAACTCACAGTCCCCTCCCTGATCTGTGAAGGGAGCCTCACTGAGGGGCACCCTGGCCTCCCCTAAACCAGCCCTCGGCTGTTCAGGCCCAGGAGCACAGGCAGGAAGGCAGAAGGGCTGGGCACGCAGCCACGCCGCTGGAGGATTCCAGGGGGCTGGCTGCATGTCGGTGGGGGTGGCGTGACCCTTGAATCGACCAGATGAACTCCACGTGAAGCCCTCAGTGGCCCAGAGACTGGCCCAGCCAGGCAGCAGCTCTGCCCCTCTGGTTCTCATCCTGAACCTCACAGAAGCCTTATTGTTATTTTTAATACAGATCGTTTTTAGAAAGGTGAGAGGGAAACCGGCAGTTCACCAGTGCAAGAGGGAGAAAAAATAAAGCTAAACATAGTGCTCCAAAGGTCTGGGCCAGCTTCCGAAATTACACGTTCCCCTTTGGGATCCGGGCATAATTTGCTGCTCCGGTTCTGGGAGCACGTTCCCACCTTCACGGCGTCCCAGAGACTAAAACCGGAGCAGAAGGCTCAAAATTAGCCCGAGCCAGGAGCCAGGGAGCAGCCAGCCCCAGCACCCCACCCCACACCCGTGGAGAGCAAGCCTCCTGACTCCTGCACACTAGCCTGCATTTCCCCCAGAGCCTCCCAGGCCCATCACACACATGCGTGTGCATACACACACACACACACACTCAGTACACCATCACACACACGCAGTCAACACACACACTGTCAACACACACATACCGCCCGCCACCGAGCCTTTGCCTCACTCCTCTGCCCACCAGGAAAGGCCTCCTCTCCCCGCTGCTGTTCTAACCCCTCTCACCAGCCCCCTCAGAGAAGCTTTCCTAATGACCTAGTCCACGCTGACCCTGCAGGCCTAGAGTCCCAGATCTTGGTGTCCCTGCTAAGCAAGCATTCATGTCTTTGCCATCACTCTCATCATCTCATATGGATCCACAACACAGACCTCCTGTCTTTGCCCACCAGAGGGGAGACTTCCCAAGAGCTCTCTCTTCCTCTTTAGCCCTACTCAGCCCACACACACACCCCCACCCCAGTCCCTGGAGACTTCAAGAGGATACCCCTACCCGTGGTGGTCTCTCAGAGCAACAGGAAAGAGTCACCTCGACTGGCGGCTCCCATGCCTGGAGGTGGGTGATGCATGGGATAGACAAGGGGCGTCACCCTTATGTGGGCCTCAAGGTCCTGGGGGAATGGCGGGGAACCAGCTCCAGGTGTGTCCCTGCACTGCCAGTCATCATCAGAACACAGGAACTAGTAGATGAGGAGGCGAAGACCCCAGGTTTGTTTGAAAGTAAAAATAGAGCCTGATTCAGACTCAGAGGCAGAATGAGAGACAGGGAGAGCATCCTGGAGTGGGGGAGTCGGCGGAGGGAGAAGGACAGGACAGGGCAAATGCTGGGAGCAGTTCATTCACATCATCTTCCTGGTTGGAGGCATTGTCTGTCTGTTCATTATTTTTCTATATTTTCCCAACTGTAGATAATAGACATACACTTATAATCAGAGAAAAATGAATATATCCTTTATTTCGAGGACAGTACTACACGGAATGAAACACCTCTGAGCCCCTCTCTGAGGACACCCCTGGCCTGCCCTCAGAAAGTCAGGCATCAAGGCCACAATGCTTACAAGCAGCAGCACTGAGCTTGCACATACATCTGCTCTCAGCCTCCCACCTCTCATGCACACTTACCCACGCACACACACTCACACCACCCCTATCCCCAGGCTGTGGTTCTGAAATCTACACAAAGGACAGCCGCACAGACCCAGAATACACTGTGGGGTTACTATGTGAGTCCCAGTCCCCTACAGAGAAGAGTCCAGGAAGCCATGACCCTCCTCACCCCCAGAGATGGGCGTCCACTTTCGAACCCTGGAAGGCCAAGTAGACAGTTCTGTTTCATACATCCATTTAAGATCATCTCTGGAACTGGCCACTCTTGACAGACCAAAAGATTTCTAGAAACCTAAGAAATGTTCGGCCATGGTGGTCAACCCAATGACCTGAGCATCAGGTCATTGGTGACTTTTTCTAGCATGTGCAGCTCATCCCAGGAACTGGGCAAGGATGGGGAGAAGGTTCTTTGGCCAAGAAGAGGCGACAGAGAGAGGACACAGGAGGGACCAAGACAGAAGCCAGACGTGGTAAGAGAGCATTTGGAGCTGGAGAGGAGCCTTCTGCTGGATCCACAGCCGCAGCTGGTAAGCACAGCGGTGGGGCTGCATCACAGTGGGAATGGTAAGTTGGCCTGGAGACACAGGTTAGACAAACAGGAGCCAGAAAAGTCCCAATTCTGCTAGACTTCTTGCTTCTCCAGTCCCCAGAGACCAGGGCTCTCCATCCTACCTGCACTGGGGAAGGGGACAGGGGACAAGAGCTCAGCCAGAACTATCTGGAAAACCACTGGGTCTGGAACCCACGGTCTCCTGAATCAGCCCCGGTCCTCCCAAGTCCTGCTCAGGGGATATGCAAGACGGAGTCAGTGAAAGATTTCCTGGACCAGCCAAATCAGATCAATGATCTCAGAGAAAAGCACAACATGGAATTGCTTTTTCCTGAAGCTGCCATCAGACCCCATCAAGACAGGGCTCCCTAGAGACTGGGACAGGTCTCCCTGCCGGCCTGGGGCTCCTTGACAATAAGGTTATGTCTCTTCAGCCATCAGACAGGGAGCTGGATGAGGGCAGGATCCAAACCTCCTCCACCAGAGCAGGCAGAGCTCACCTCCCCCTCTCCCTGTGGACCCCTGAGGCCCTGTGAGCCAGCCCCTCCCCTGTGGACAAGCCTCACCCCCGCCCCATCCTCTGCCTGGCCAGCAGCTTGAGTCGTGTCCTCCCACAAAGAGTGCCGACCCTGCTCTGGCTCCTACCCCAGTCCCAGTTCACTCATGTCAACGCCGGGAGGACGTCCAGCCTGGGCCTACTCACTGTCTGCCTCTGGCTGCACTTGTAGCCAGCAGGACCCGAAACAGTGCCTCCCGATCTGAGTCTGCAGGCATTTTGAGGGCGGCACACACAGAACAGAAATCCTACGGGGCCAGCTCTGCGCTACCCCACACAGACTCAGACGGCCCGCTGAGCGGTGGGATCCAGCGCTGGGCACCAAGCTTGGGGCTAATTATCTGCCTCATTCAGCTACAAACACCCACCCAGGCCTTGAGTGCAGCTGAATTCCCTGTATTTGCAATTTCCATTTGGGTGTCCCCAGGCAAGAGAAGCTCCTCCTTAGCTCCTACAGAGAGTAGGCAGGATCCACCCACCCATTTATCCACCCACCCACCCATTTACTTATGCATCCATCCACTCATCCATCCACTCATCCATCTGTGCGTCTGGGAAGGCAGACCTTCTTCGAATGCCTCCTCTAAGCCAGGCCCTGGGCTGGCATTGAGGACACAAAAAGGAGTGGGTCCCACTCACTGCCCTGAGCCTAGTCTAGGAAACATGCTAACATTTACAGTGGCAGCATGACTTAAGGCAAATGCAGTGACCCAGTGAGAGACAGGACTTTCAGAAGAAGTGGAGGAGCCAGGGCAGAATCCTGGAAGGAGATGACCTCACCGAGGCTGAGTCTTGAGTGACTGGTGCTGGCCAGAGGTGTACCCAGCAGAAAGGGTGGTGGGGTGGGGCCCTGGAGAGCCAGAGAGGTGGGACAAGTGGGCAGCTGGGACCTTGTGAGGATGCTTAGCTCCAGTGACACTTGAGAGCAACTATAAAGCTCTTGTGTCAGCAGCAGTGTGGCCCAGGACTGAACACCAGCAACGTCCCCTTGGAAGCAGCAAAATGGTGAAAGAGATGAGTGCATGGAAAGCAGCAGAAATTCACCCTAAATGTCAGACAGAAGCCCCTATAAGCACATCTCAGGGACAGCTTTGAGGACCCCAAGACCTACCCAGCACCCAAAGTTGTCCTCTTGTTCTCAAGGCTAATATTTGATTGATGGCTTAAAAAACTTGAACCCTTCCAAAATGCCACCCCTTTCCTGGTGAAAAAATAGACTGTGGGCCTGAGGACACATGTGCTGTCAACGTAAGTTGGGAGGCTCTGCTCTGGGCAGCCCAGAAGCTCTGGGAGCCCCAAGTGCCATGGGGCAGCCAGAGTCAAGCAAAGCCAAGAGGAAGGTGACAACGTGGAGCAGAGGAACAGAGCTGTTCAAGGCTGGTGCTCACAGTGAGGTCCATGTCCATCTCCACTGTGATAAGGCTGGGGCGTCTCAGCCGTACAGGACCCACAGCCACCCAGAGCCCAAGGTGGGAAGAGTGATCCCCCCTCAGTAAGAGATGCCACAAGCCACCTGCCATGCTGTTCGGCATTGGCGCCTGGGTCACCAGGTGGAAGGTGCTTCCCCTGTGGCTCAGCTAGTAAAGAATCCGCCTACAATATGGGAGACCTGGGTTTGATCCCTGGGTTGGGAAGATCCCCTGGAGAAGGCAAAGACTATCCACTGCAGTATTCTGGCCTGGAGAATGCCATGGACTGTATAGTCCATGGGGTCACAAAGAGTCACAAAGAGGGAGTTTCACTTCACCAGGCAGAGCACAGAGCAAAGGGCTGCTTCTTACCTGCCGGCAGGGTCAGACACCCTGGCAGTAAGACCCTCCTCCTGCCCCTCCTCCCTCCCGCAGGTGGAGGGGATGGGGCGTCTGGGACTACTGGCTTAAACACAGACCCCGTCTTCAAGCTGCCTCCAGGGTGCCAGCAAGCACAAGCCCATAGGTGAATCTCTCCCCAAGGAAGGTCCTAGCCACGGGGCTGGGCACCCCAGAGACTGCCAGCCACTCCTCACCCTGTCTTCCTTCTCTCTTTCTTGCTCCTCCCACCCTGATTTCCTGGGTGATCGCCAGGGGCAAGCCCTCCACATGGCCTTCAAGGTGGCAGGGCCATTTTTCTCAGATGCTTTGGGTCTTGCCCAGTAGACCCACGGAGTTTTGCGCAAGCCACCACCCTGCTCCCATCCCTGCTGGAAGCTCCTAACTGGGTCCCTCCATCTGTCAGGTGGCCAGCCACCAGGCTACAGGGGGAGAGTCTTATGGAGGCTGTGTGATGAGGGAGGGGGAGGAAGGCCAGGGGAGAAGGAAAACAAGGCAGCTCTCGACGGAAGCAGTGTCTGTCCCCAGGGACCCTTCCTACCTGGATGGGGATGAGGGGCTCCTTGTCATCGATGTCGATCAGCACATCTTCCCCGGGACTGAGTAAGCTCACGTCATCTGGAGGGAGAGCCGTGTCCGGGCCTGAGAGGGGCTCCCCTGGGGACTCCCCGCTCCCGAGCCGTGAGACTCGGCCTCGGGTCTCATCACACTTCTCACTTCGTGTCTTCCTCTTCCTCCCCCCTCACGCTCCCCATCTCCCCAGGCCCCTCGCTCCTCATCCCTGTGATCCCTGCATCTCCCTCTCCTGTGGCCTTTTCCACATGACCTCTCACCACAGCATCGACCCCCGCTCCCTGGAGGACCCAGCCTGGGCCAGATGAGGCCCTGAGGAAGACAAGATTCCCGCCCTTCCCTCCCGTCACCTGGGCAAGTCACTTCTCACTCAGTAAGAGGAGGCCTTCAGGACGTGCCTCAGCTGGAAAGCCCGCTGCCCGCCCCCGCCAGTGAAGGGCCCCTCCCCACCTGGGCCGCCCTGTGGGGACGGACTGTCCTCTGAGTACGGGTCACACAGGAAGCTCTCCAGGGAGCGGACGGTACACTGGCCCACCACGGGCCGGCGGCCAAACTGGCGGTTATCAATGACCTTGACCACGATGGGGGGACAGTACAGCTCCTCCCTGGGCAGCATCTGGGTGGAGGAAGAGGGAAGCTCTGAGCAGCGGCCTGACCTCATCTCTGGGAGGTCCCAGAGGGAGGGGAGCCCTTCTTCCCAGGACAAGTCCAAGGAGCAGAAAATGACTCTCAACCTACACCTAACCCCCAAGGGTCATCAATCCAAAGCGGTGATCGGCTGAGCCCAGGAGCGGGCCCCTGGGGCAGAAGCCGCCCACCTCTCTGTCTGCCTCCTGAATGCTGCATGCAGAGGCTGACTTTCCCCTCAAGCTTTAACCCCCAAACACACCCAACTCAGCCCAAAGTTAAAACAAGTCTCCTTTCCCTGAAGCCTCACTGGCCAGGGAAGGGGAGAAGGGAGAAGCTGGCCCGGGACACAACAGTTCTCGCAGACAGACCCCCCCAAAGTGGATACTCAAGAGTTGGCTTCCAGGCCCAGATTCTTCTCCCCCAACCCTAAAAGCACTTTGAACACAACTTGAAATAATTTATATTCTCTCCTTCGGTGGTGGCTTTGACCCAGCCAAGAGGAGGCTCCTGTTGACAGCCATTGGGCCTGGAATTTCTACAGCATTTTCATCTTGCAAACTATTTTCCTTCCCTCAGACTTGCCTTGCTCTGGTCACTAAGCCCAGGCAAACCAGGCTGCTCAGGGGGCTGGAGCCAAGGGCCACGGGGGTGAGCCCCTCTGCAAGAGCCCAGGGTAGGGGAGCACTAGGTCCAGGAAGATTTGGAGGAATCCCCGAAGGTCAGAGCCCTGGCAGATGGCCCCCGGGGAGTGAGGCCTGCCCTGAGAGAGGAAACAGCCACGGGTGGGTCCTTGGGACTCCCATGGACTCGGGATCTGGGGAGACGGAACCAAGCTGGCGCCCTCTGTGCTGCCTGCAGGCTGCGGCTCCTCCAGGAAGCAGACAGCGAGCATTTCCTCCCGTTCTCAAAGGAGGTGGGAGCGAGACCATGAGCTAGGCAGAATCCTGCAGGGAGCTGAACCCCAGGCTGCCTGGGGCTGCGAGGAAATTCTAAGCACCAGGACTCTAGTAGGTAGCAGACCGCAGGGAGGTCAGGCTCACCACTTCCATGAAGAGGGTGCAGATGTCGAAGTTGGGGTTCTTCCGGAGGTTCTTGATGACACAGGATTGCACAGACTGGCCCCCGCACTCCACCACCAGGCTCGGGGAGGACACGCTGGCCAGCTGGTAGCTCTTCATGTTCCGAAGACCCCACGCCAGGATCTGGGGGTGTGGAGTGAGGAGAGCAGCTGGAAAGGCCCCAGGCCCCAGGAAAGGCTGGGCCAGGAAAGGGGAGGCCCCCAACCCCCACCCCCATGATGGGGGCAGGCTCACCTCAATGGCGGTTCGCTGGAGAACCGGCTTGATGTTCTGGGGGACCATGTAGATGTTGGTCTCCCTCTGGGGTGGCGGGTAGGGCAGGTCCGTGTCCTCCGACTGCAGGGCACGAGGGACAAGGGAGGCAAAGGCAGGAGGAAGACCAAGGCAGACAGACAAGAGAGGAGGACAGATGGGACGGAAAGAAAGTGCATGTGTGAAGAGACGCAGAAACAGAGCGGCGGGGACACAGAAGGGGGCAGCCGGGCAGGCAGGAACAGGAGAGCTCAGTCAGTTTCCCAGGCACCCTCTTCTCCAGGGTCACACCACCAGCACCTGGGCCCAGGGATCAGGCCAGTCTGTTTCAGACAAACCCCGGGCCCCCACTCCTCCCACCAACGAGCCGCTCGGGGGTCCCATCCCTGTCACACACACGTGTGCACACACGTGCACTGTCCGGTCCAACCTGACACATCCACTTCAGCCCGTCCCGGTCCCGAGAGGACCACGTGCCCACCTGCTGCCCTCTCCTGCGTCCAGCTCAGACCCTCCCACCCATCACCTGCCCTGTGGTCCGTCTCCAGCCCCCACGAAGCCACGCCCACAGGCCTCGGCCAGACCCCCACTCCCGCCTCTCACACCTGTCCCGAGGTGTGACACAGCTGAACAGATTGCTTGCACCGTGGGACAGAAGAGGTGCTTCCAAACAGAAGAGGGGCCAGGAGAGCCTGTCACCCCAGGCACCAAAGGGCCTCCTGGGGAGGCTCCTTCACACCGTGGGCAAGAGGTGAGGGCGTCAGTTCTGGTGCTATGGGTCTGCCAAAAAGACTTGGGCAAGAACCCTGAAGAACTATTAATACACAGGGAAGCAGGTGAAGCACTACAACAGGTATCACTGTGGATTAGACGACTACCACGTCTGACAGTGGTTATGAACATGGGCTCTGGGTGTGAAGGAATCCCAACTCCACCACTTACTGAGTTAAATAAGTTATTTCACTTCTCTATGGCTCAAGGGTTTTCATCTACAAAATGGTTATTAAAAATTATCAACCTCTGAAGCTTAATATGAGGCTTGAAGAAGCTGATAACATTTAAAAGAGGTCCTGGTTCATGTAAACTCTCAATAGGAGTCCACATGGCAACTTTGTGACAATTAGAAAAAGATGTCCCTTTCTGAAAGCTCTTCACTTCCATGTCAGAAAATCATCCTAGTTTACTAGTTTATTTGAACAAGACACTTTACTGCCACCTACTGGAAACTGCTATAATAAATAAAAATATACAATGTCTGCACTGGAAATCGCAGTCCCGTAGGTAGACCCGGTGCTCTCATGCAATGCACAACCTGAGCTCCATCTACGGAGGCCCTGACACCCAGGAGATGTTAACTATAAATCGAAGGGCTGTGCTGTGTGCTTTATAGCGCTCGCCTCACATAATCACATTAAGAAACAATGGAGTCATTGGATTCATTCTCCAAGCCAACTTGCTCTGGGTTCCTTCCCAAAGGATGTTTCATCCATCTGCAGATGCTCTGACGTCGATGGTGGGAGCAGCTGGAGCAGTGAAACACATCAGCTTCGTCCCACCTCATCCCTTCACAGCCAACCCCAGCTGTCACTCCTGCCCATTTCACACTGACAATGCTATGCCTCATGACCTGCGGTGGTGGTGATTTCTAAAATCAAACCAGACCGTGGTCCTAGTCCTAACCTTGCGGCTTCTGAGCTGTTTGACCTTGGGCAAATTATTCAAACTCTGTGGTCCAGTACTCTCATGTGAAGATCCAGGATGACACCCTTACAAAATTGCTCTGAGAATTTAACAAGAGAACAAATATGAAGTGTTTCTGGCACATGGGGGGTGCTTAATAAAGAGCAGGGACTGTAGCGATCAGTGTATTGTTGGTAGTGCCACTGTTCACAACAAGAGTGGCGCTGGACAAAAAACCCCCACCCAAAGACTGAGCAGAGCTGAGCCATCGGAGGCACCTCTCAGAATAGCACCAGCTTCATAGCTATCCCAACGTCACCAAAGCACAACATGAAGGAATTCATCATTTTCCTCCAGACCCACAAGGCAGGTGACAAGATGCAGGAAGCACCCACATTTTCAGACTGAGCAACAGATGCCATCAGAAAGAAGAGTGCTGAGCAGGCCGGCCCTGGGCACACCCCGGGCCTGCTGTGCACGTCAGTCCACATGACTGGTGCCCCGGAGGGTGGGGGCAGAGTCCACAGTGGCCTGGCCGCTGTGGACATGCCTGGCTTGGTGTCCACCCTTGGCACTCCAAGGCCACCTGCTGTGACAACTGTGTAGCAGGGGTCACCTCATTTTTAAAAAGGTTATGCCTGGAAGCCTGCTAGTGGCCTGCTCGAGGCTGATGCCCAGCCAACCATGGACCCAGGACCAAAAGTCCATGATAAAACGGACAAGTAGAAGAGGTCAGGAAGGGAACAGCCCCAGGATCCTGGGTGGGGAGGCAGGAAGACAAAACTTTCCTCACACGGTTGCAATGTTCTCCTGAAATCACCGGGAAAACTCAGGAGTACATTTCCCCCCAGAACACTTCTCTCCAGGCCCCCAAACTCTGGGCAGCGTCCCTTCGGTTGCTTGTCCCTCACTTTCCATGCCCCACCGTCCCGCTGGGCTCCCTCGAGCTCCCTGTGAGGACACTCGTGTCTCCGCGCAGTGGCCCAGGCCCCCACTGCAGGAACCTGGTCACGGAGGAGGGCAGGGAACAAGAACCTGGAGAAGACTGGGCTCCAGTACCGTTGGCAGGAGGCCCTGGAGGAAGAAGGCAGGTGCACACAGCTGTGGAGGCCAGGCCCGGCCGGCAGGAAGGAGAGACAAGCAGAAACAGCGGTTAGGGGTGTGTCCACGGGGCAGCTTACCAGGCACAGGCCCCCCATTCTCATCCCAAGGCCACCTCCATCCACCATGCCACCCTCCAGAGTCCCGGCACATCCTTGCTCCCTGCCCTTTGCTGCCACTCCCCAGAGTCCCCACCTCTGCGGGGGCTCCCTCCTCCTGCCGGGAGCCACGCGGTCCTCTGTCCCCTCCCCACTGCGCACACTGCACTGCATGCAGGCGCCTCTCACTGTCCTGGGGCATCTATGCCTCCCCTGCTCCCTGACCAGTCTCACCCAGCCCTCCCCAATTCTCCGCGCTATCTGTGCATGTGTTCCTTCCCCATCGACAGATGGTCTCAAGATGGCCTCTCAGGTCTGTCCACACCTTCTCTCTGGGCCTACTCTCCTCTCGCTCTCTGAAAAGGGCTGCCTCCATCCCCCGCCCCTCCCTCACTGCCAGGCAACCCTCTGCCCCAGGCACTTGCTCTGCCCTCTGCACCCCCTCCCTGGAAATTCCTCTCTCCAAAATTAACAACCTGCTGGTAGCTCAAACGCAGCTCACAGGCTCCTATCTCTCTCCCTCCCTCAGCAGCATCTGGCCGGCTGACCTCGGCCTCCTTCCTAAAAGGGTCCCTCTGGTTCCTCACTGCTGGCCTCTCTGCCCTCTCTACCCACTGTGGGCTGTGTCTCCAGGCAGCCTCCTCCTGCTCCCCAGCCCAACCCTCTTCTAGACTTTCTTCTCTCACACATCTCTCCTAAGCCCCAGACTCACATTTCCCACCTTACTGCTATTTCATCCATGCGTCCTTCCAGCCTCTCACACTGAACTTTTCCCAAACTGGATTCTCTAAGTTCCCCCTCAAACCTGCTCTCTTCAGATGTCATCTCAGAAACCAGCCCCACCATCCACCCGGAGAGCCAAGCCACAAAGCCCCATGCCACCCTTGGCTCTCCTTCCCCCTCTTGGTCCCCAAGCCGTAGAGACCTGTCTCCTACAGCTCTCCCATGCCCACCCACCCATCTTCGTTCCTGGGTTTGGTTCACCACCCTCTTTTGCCTCCTCCTAAGTGACATCTTGGGCTTCCTGATGGCTCAACAGTATAGAATCCACCTGCAATGCAGGAGATGCAAGTTCAATCCCTGGGTTAGGAAGATCCTCTGGAGAAGGAAGTGGCAACCCACTCCAGTATTCTTGCCTGGGGGATCCCATGGACAGAGGAGCTGGGTAGGCTGTATTCCATGGGATTACATATGAGTCAGACCAACTTAGCAACTAAACACCAACACCACCACAAGTGATATCTGGCATCTGGTTTCTGGCATCTGATATCTGGCTTCTCCTTCCAACAATGAATGAGAACTGTACTCTGCAACCAGGAGACAATTTCTAAGAAGGTCAATCTGTTTAAAACCCTTCAAAGTTTCCCCACCCACTCAGGATGAAGCCCAAACTCCTTGACGTGGGCTCCAAGACCCCTCATCTTCTAGTTCTGCTGACCTCTCTGGTCTCACGTCTCACCACTAACTTTCCACTGCAGGACCCTAAGCAGTGACCAGCCACCTCCCCAGACACACTCAACACCCATCCTTCTGAATGCCAGCAGGCTGCAGGAGGCACCAGATTCTCTGTGAGGTTGGAGCTCACCGGCCCTCCAGTCCGAAGGACTCTTCCACCCACTTCATCTGGCTACCTCTGACTCAGACTCTGGGTCCATTTAAGTCTTCCCTGGAGCCCCAGGTTTAAGTTAAGCACCCCACAGTTTCCAGAGCAACTTGTCCCATTGAAAGACACATCACCCTGTGTCATTTCTATGTGTTTATTTGTCTGTGTCCCTTGTTAAATCAATGGGCTTCCCAGGTGGCTCAGTGGTAAAGAATCTGTCTGCAGTGCATGAGATGCAGGAGACGTGGGTTCAATCCCTGGATTGGGAAGACCCCCTGGAGAAGGAAATGGCAACCCACTCCAATATTCTTGCCTGGGAAATCCCATGGACAGAGGAGCCTGGAGGGCTACAGTCCATGGGGTGGCAAGAGTCGGACACGACTTAAGGACTAAACTACCACAACCGACTTGTTAAACTAGCAATTCTGCATGCAGGGACCCCAGCTGAATCCCCTATCAATAAATAGAGGCTTAGGATCAGACACTTGAAGGGAGAGAGGGATGGCAGGGGAGAAAGAACTTACTCCAACACACTCTCCATCTTTCCCAACACACTTGTCTGCAACAGCCTTGCATCCTCACCAACACTCCTTCCCCTGGGCCTGCTCAGGGCTCCCTCTGTTTGCATGGGCTTCTTTTGCCATCTTCCAGAATCAACCACATCTTTTAGGGCCTAGTTCAAACTCTACATCCTCCAGAAAATCTCCCCAACTACTCCAGAAACTCCTTTCTACCCTCTCTCTGACTTCTTTTCCCTCTAAGTGACCCTGGGCTCCGGTTTCCCAAGGTCCTGACTGGTCTCCAACATCTCACACTTGAGAGTCCTGTAGTACCAGCCAAACGGCCACGCCTGTGCCCAAGTTTCTCCATCCAGTCGAGCCCATCTGAGAGGCACGATACCTCATTTCTGGGCAGCGATTCTCAGTAGGATGGGCTGCTGTGACCCCTGTCAGCACAGCCAGCCAGGGAAGGGGTGGAAGCAGGCCGAAAGCATCACAGGGACATCCTGATTCACTGTCCTAAGTGTGACTGGGGACTCCGAGGACCACAGACCTCAGGGCAGCCACACAACAGGAGGCTAATTAGATGAGCCGTTCCATGGTGGGGTCCACCATTTCCATGCTGACCCTCCCCACCCTGCCTGAATGGAGGGCAGACCCAGCGCTGCTGCACGGATGGGGCTCTGCAGGTGAGCAGGGTGCTCACCGAGACAGTGCAGGCCAAGAGGACAAGGTCTCAGGGACAGATGAGGCTCTGTCCCCCACCTGAACAGAATCCACCCTCTACCCACTTTCATCCATCCACCCCATTGGCCACTTCAGTGCAGGGAACCTAGGCCCAGGGTTGCTTCCTCTCCCAGTCCTAGAGGCCACCACGCTAGACAGCCTGGTGTTCATCCCAGTGGAGGGGCAAGTGCAGGCGGCCCCTCCAGCCACGGAGGGCAGTGATGCCACCAGTGGCGCATAGACACCCACTCCACCCTGCGGGGCAGTCAGAGGACCCTCTGAACACTCAGACCCTGGCTCCTCGGGGAGCTCCCGGCAGGCGGGCTGGGAGGGCTCCACTGTCTGCCTGCCCCACCCAGCTCGTTAGGAACAACATGCTGCTCTAATTACACTTCCCAGGAAAAACAGTGTTTTAAATTAAAGCCTTGGGGGAGGGATAGGAGGTTGTGGTGGGGGGGACCACTGGGCTTATTTTCCTGATTGCAAAACACCAAATTTTTCCTTCTGGAGGATTTGGGGGTGCAGGAGGGTACATCTCCTGGATATCTCAGACTAAAAGCCATAGCTTGTTGCCTGGATTAGGAGGGGGATGGAGTGACATCTGGTTGGCCCCCAAGTCACGGCAAAAAATCCATGAGCCCGCTCTCCCTTCTTCCAGGACATCCATCCACGGGGCAAGACAGTAGTAGCAGAACCAAGGGCGGTATTCCGAACTACACCCCCTGAGGTACTCAGGACTACAAGCCCCGATCCCGCCTAAAGGGTCCCCCTTCCTCTGCCCTGGCTCAGGGGCCCTCAGTTATTAAGGAATCTGCCATCACCTCTTCTGCAGTGTGTGTGTGTGTGTGTGTGTATGTGTGCATGCGTGGATACATGCTCTCATGAGTGTACACATTTGCGCACACTCACACGTGCCTGTGCGCTCTCCATTTCTCAGGAAATCTAAAATTGCAGTTTCTTTGAACTCCTTCCCCTTGGCAGCGCAGACCGCCTTTGTTCTCCAGACAAAAAGGAAAAGAAACGAGACAGAGGGCTCAGAAGAGGCGGGGAGAAGGAGGGAGAGAGACGGTCCAGGCCAAGGAGCAGAGAAAGAGAGAAATGCAGAGGGAGAGGGGGACAAGGGGAAGAGCGAGGCTCCGGAAGAGGAGAAAACAGCGAGGGACAGACAGGAAGGCTGGGGGCTGAATGGGAAGCAGCTCTCCCCTCCCTCCAGGAGGACCTGGGTCTCTCCCACAGCAAAACCTCAAAGATACAATGCAACAGTCTCCTTTCCCCTCCGAGGGCACTCAGAGAGGGGCATTCCAGGCGGGCCAGATGCCTGGCACAGGGGAAATCTCCTTGCCCACCACCCTGGCCCCACACGGTGACATGCCCCTAGCCCAAGGCAGTGGACCCCCAAAGGGAGCGCAGAGTCATCTCTTCCAGGAAGCCATACCCACTGTCCTCCAGCTGTAGAAGTTCTCAGCCTGGGGAGAGGCCTCTCACCTCATTCACGCCTCCCACCCACATGTGCTGTCCCGAAGGCCATCCCCACTGGAGAGGCCATCCTTAAACCACCCTCCAGAGTCACTGTCCCTCTCCATTCCTCTCTCTGGCCTAGGCCCCCATCACATCTGTCTCAAAAACCTCCTAGTCTCTCCTGCCCCTCGCTCCCCAACCTACACCTCTCTGCAGCCAGACAGCTTCCTAACACACCCATCTCTGCTCCCAGACTTTCTAGGGCTCCTATAGCCAGTGGCCCAGAATCTAAGACCCCAGCATGGCTTTCGCGGGTCATGGCTGGAGCGCTCTTCACAGGGATCAAGTTGGGAGCCTGGAGGGGGCTTGTGAACAAGGGATACCAAGCAGGAGCCTGGCTGCAGCAAAGAAGACAGAAAACTCTTGCTAAGGCGTCAGGCTTCCTGCAGCACCAGAGGCAACAGCAAGACTAACCTGCCTCCACCCCGTCCCCGAGGATTCTTAAAACCAGAAAGGACTCAGGACCTCGGCCTGAGCCTCAGCCTTCAAATGCAGAGGGACAGGGTGAGCTGCAGGCCGCCTCTGGGGATGAAGGGGTCATGGATCACCTTCCGGGATGGTTCTGGAGAGCAGCTGATATTCCTGGGCCTAGGACCCTTGGAACGTGCTGGCCCAGCCTTGTGCCCAGCAAACCCCCAGGACTTGCTCTCCTCTGGTGCTGCTGACCCATACCCGCCTCGGCCTGTAGCAGGCCGGCCCTGCAGCGGGACACTTGGCCCTTGTCGGGCTCTGGCCCCGAAGATGCAGATTTTGATTTGCTTCTTGACAAGACCACAGCCAGATCCTGCTCTTGGAATCTGAGCCTCCACTGTTATATATTACAAATCCAGTTATTAAGGATTTTAACTTTTTTTAATAACTCATCCCTGGGCTGGGTCTTCTTCAGAGCAGGCTGTGGGTTTTGGCCACAGAATGCTCTCAATCAAGAGAGAGGGCTCCGTGCTGCTTCCCTGGACAGGACTCTGGTCCCCTTTCCAAATCGGCAGTCTTTCGCAACTGCAGCCAGAAGCAGGAGGCTGCCTGTCAGGCGCAATTACAGCCAGCTCACTTGGCGGACCCCACCTCGGTCTGGGAGCTGAAGGAAGTGAGGTAAGGGGCGCCGGGCCTGCAGATCCCACATCCTGACCCTGCACTTCAAGTCCAAATTGCACTGAAAATGTCAAATGGTGTCCGCTCCCAGTCTGGGGATTCCCTGACGGCAGGAAGTGGCTGTCCTTTTCCCAACCCCCATCTGCCCAGGGCTCTCCTTCCCGTCTCTCTGCCCAGGCCTCTGCCCCAGCTCAGTCAGGAGCGCCCACTCACATGTACACAGGAGGCCGTAAGGAAAGGTGCTCCTCGTCCACCATATCAAAGGACACAGCCTTGCTCCTTTTGGATGCAAACCCCAGGCTTCTCCCAGAACCTAGAAATCCCCAACCCACCCTATCCCCTAAACCGGCCAGACCCCAAACTGGCATGTTCCCCACCTTCTTCCTAAGCACTGCAGCAATGTCTGCCTAATGCCACCTCCACCAACAAGGCTTCTTTGACTATTCTGTCCCCTTATGAACATCTTTATTCTTGAAAACATTCCACCTGGTACTCAGCCAGATGAAGAAGCTCTGTACTGCTGTCCTTGGGGTCTGGGGGAAATGTGGCTTCCAACATAGCAGCAATCCACCTAAGGCCAGAATCACATCACGACACACCCCAGGCAACCCTGGATCCATGCAAAGAGCGAGAAATGAAATCCACACAGGGGTCCATGTGACAGACACACACTGGAGCACCAGAACCAGGAAGGCTCCCGGGCATGGCCTTCCTCTTCCCTCTGTCTCTGCCCGCCCACCCAGCCACAGGCCACAGCCGTGAGGGTCCAGCTCACCTCTTCCAGGATCCCTGTTGTGTCCTGTACCTGGACCCCACCATGGGACAGTCCACATCCAGGAGACGGTGGAGGGAGGAGAGCAAGAGGATAGAAGTTCACCATTAGTGACAAGGAGCACTAGGCTGGGGCAGAGATCAACATGCCAGATATCCCCCTAAAAGGAACCAACAGAAAACCTTTCCCATCTAGGGTGAGGGGGGTGTGCTTCCCAGACACACTCTCTGCCTGGCCCCTGCAATGAGGAAAGAAGATACAACAGATGCTGATGCGGAGAAACTGCTAGGAGAGGCCAAAGCATGAACCTAGATCCCAGGCATCTCTAAAAGTGACAGAAGAAAGGAGACTGACTGACTGACAGGTGGTGGAGGATCCCAGACTCTGTGCATGAGTCCCAGGAGGTAGTCAAGCCTGATTCCTGGAGCTGCTGGAGCTATGGACTTGGAGAACCAAGGAGAAGCATCCTAGATGCTCAGGGCTGGCAGACCTGAGAGCAGACGCTTGGACTGGACAGGGAGCAGGAGAGGGAGTGAGACAAACAGGGATGGGAGGAGGTCTTATACGGAAGAACTATCTGCAAATTTGTCTGGGCTCCCTGCCTCATAGGGTTTCCCTGGTGGCTCAGACAGTAAAGAATCTGCGTGGAATGCACGAGACCCGGGTTCGATCCCTGGGTCGAGAAGATCCCCTGGGAAAGGGAATGGCTACCCACTCTAGTATTCTTGGCTGGAGAATCCCATGGACAGAGGAGCCTGGTGGGCTACAGTCCATGGAGTCACAAAGAGAAAGACACAACTGAGCAACTAAACATTTTCACTTCCCTGCCTCATAAGCAGGGAGGCATCTAGAAAGAGCCCAACTGCCTGGGCTCTCAAAGGTGCAGCTGGGCAACCCTTGGCCAAGTATAGGATTCCCAAATCAAGTCAGCCTGGGTACCAGAAAAAGGTGTACACTTTTCATGACCCTCAGGGAACCAAGTCCCCATCACTAGCAGAGGAAAGAAAACTAGATCTCAGTGGGAACACTGAGCTGGGAACTACAGTCGATTGATCAGAGTTTCTGAAAGGTGAGTGATTCTGAAAAGGAATCCCCTGGAGGGCTCGAAAATACCCAGGGTGCTGCGCTGCCTCTCAGAGTTGGCTTCAGTGGGTCCAAAGAGGGACTGAAGTTTGGCGTTTCTAACAGTGCCTACCTCGGGGATGCGATGCTGAGAACCACTGACCTGAGTCAACAGTTCTCAGCTCTGGCTGCACAGTCCCGTCTCCCAGGGAGCTTTGAAAGACACCAGTGCCTGAGCCACACCCCCAAAAGATCGCACTGCATTTGGTCTGCGCTTGGACTGAGCACCGGTGATTATTAAAGCTATCCAAGGGATTCCAATGCGCAGCCCAGCGGAGAGCCACTGGGCCAGATGGCCAGCGTGGTCCCTTCCATCTGAGTCATCTGTGATCCCTGGACCTCTCAGGGGAAAAAGGCAGGGATGCCTGAGCTACGCAGGGGCCCCAACCCCCACTCATCCTGCCTCTAAGGCCTCACCCACATCTTCCTCAGCTTGAAGGCAGGATGGTGGTGATGTGTGCCTACTGCCCTTCCTAGCCTGGGAGGGGGCTGCAAACACGGGGAGGGGCAAGCCTGAAGAAACAAAGTTAAGAGTGAGCCTTACCTCAAAACCAGGAATATGGTGGATGGCCGGCTAGGATGAAAAAAAGAGCTCTGGTTAGGTGCCTGTCACCCAAGGCCCCACCAGTGTCCTTTCTGCCCTGGCCAGGCAAACACATTCCCAACCACAAGTTGACACCCATGGAATATGTCTGTGATTGGACAGTCCCAGGATCTGTAGACTATTCCTGGGAAGCCTAGGGATTCCTGGAAAGTGCGTGGTAGGCAGGCGCAGGGGAAGCCAGGTTACAGTATGCTGTGTCCGCCTTCCACCACAGTAGCCTCACTTCTGGCCGGCTTACATTTTAGAGGTTCATGTCACACTAAGAGCAAATTTGAAGACGCAGCTCTAACCCAAAGCCCCTATTTTATAGCAGGGAAGTGGCGAGCCAGGGTCACACAGCCAGGCCGTGGTGAGCCAGCATGAGAACAGACGTCCTGTCCTGCCCTGTCCCTGGAGTCCCCTTCCCCAGGACAATAAGAACCCCTAACCAGATGACAGAGGTCTTTCTCCCAGAAACTGCGACAGGAAAAACACATGCAATGACCAGAGGACTCGGACATTTGAACACAATTCAGATTTCAACTTTCTGCCCCAGTGTAGGTTGTGTCTTGATTTGGGGCTCAGAAAAGATGGACAAAACTGGTTCCGGCAGGAGGCCTAACATCCAGAGGTGGCCCTTCAGTACTCTCAGCTAAACGCAGACCCTCGGTGAGGGAAAAAGAACGTATCCGAGGCCCCTCCCCTCCATCAGACCATCCTTTCTCTGGGCCCCCCACCCTCCCTGGCCAGGCGCTCCCGACCTGGGCCTCCTATATCCGGACATGGACCAGCCTCACCTTCTCTCTCTGGATGAGCTCAAAAGAGGCCAGCAGCTCACCGGCCGGCTGGCTGCCCCTCGTCAGCGGGAACCACGCCACCCGGGGCATCCGTTCCAGACTCGGCTGACAGATGCAGCGTCCCATGAACTCATCTACACCCTAGACCAAGCGTGGAGAAAGAAGAGTCAGCGTCCCCCAGCCCTGGGTCTGGTGGCCTGAGTTGTCACCAAACCCACACCTGGCCACCTAAACTGGAAAGGGCCTCAGAAGTCAGGGCAGCCCCTGGTGCAAAATGGTAAGTTCTGCCTCCCTGAGAAGGATGCGAGGAAAACACGTGAGTGGCCTCCTGCCACTGTTGCTAGAGCTGATTCCCATCACGGTCTGGAAGTCCCTCTGTTTGTCCAACTAGCATTCACCTTGCTTCAATTTAACCAAGCTCTAAGCCCATTACAGTCAAAAGTGATAGCCACCTAGCATTTATTGAATGTCCTCAGCAATACAAGTACTTGACATTTCCCGGGACTTTTGTATCTCCTATTCATTTCACCTTCAGACCACCCTCCTCCAATTTCCATGGGGAGACTGTGATCAAGCTCACCAAATTAAATGCATCTTGTTAAAATGATGTTTGCATCTTTTCATTCCTTTGCTCTTGTGCCTGCCATGAGGCAGGGCCTAGAGGATGAAGTCTAAACCCCTCCTGGTATGAAAGGGCCGCTCACTGGAGCCCGCTCACGCCCCTGTCTCATCTCTTCCCACACGTCTTCAACCCCAGCTGTTTCCCTCAGCTGGCCTCACCCCAGCCTTTATGCTGGCCATTCCACTACCCTGCTGCACTCTGCTCTTCTCAGCCATCACCCACAGCTCTGCCCAAGTTCAGCCCTTTGATGTGGACCCCCAGGACCTTGCTGACCTGTGAACTCCAGCCTTGTGGTTAGCTTCCCCAGGACAGGGGCCACAGACAGAAACTGAGTCTCAGCCAGATGGTGCCGCAGCCATCACAAGCCCTGGTAGCTTGCCCGAGGCACTCATCCAGAGGAAACCCGGCCAGGGCTGAGAGGCATCCCCACCTGTGGTCACCTCACTGCTGGGGACATCGTTCAGAGCCATCTGGAGTGGTCACCAGCTAGATGCCCCCCTCCATGAGTGACAAGTCAGCACAGACCCTCAGAGTGGGCACCAGCCACGGTGGTGGGAAGGGTCCCGGAGGCTCCTCTGGGCCCAGTGCTGCCCGTTAGTCACTGGGTCATGGAGAGCCTGAAGGACGGGCATCCTTACAGAGCCTGGGCAGCCAGGACCGCAGGAGCTCAGGGCAACAGATATTTGCCAACAGGTACAGCTTCATCTGACTATGTTGACAATAAGCAGGACCCCGGGGCCCACCCACCCAGAAGAGGCCATGGTGCTCTACCACTGGGGTCCCTCTCAGGCATTGGCCTGAAGGGGAGAAAGTGACATTTGCGTGACATTGGTGAAAGTGGAGGTAAGGTGCTATGGGGAGAGAGAGACCAAGTCCTATGACCTCCCGCCCGCCCCATGCCAGCACTTGCACCCACTTCTGTGATGTCCCCTGGCCCAGAACCCTCTAGTCCTGCCGCCTCCCACTCATTCCTGCCCCCAAGGTTCCAGGCTCTGAGCTCTTCCCCAAAAGATCCTTCCTCCAGTCGCTAAGCCCCCATGGAGCCAGCTTTTCCTTCTAAGGGCAGAGCCAGCAGGCCGGCCTCCCGAGTCCGGGCCCGCGTTGCCCACTGTCACCTGGTGGGGGCGCCCTCATTGGCATCACCTTCAGCCACCCTCTGGTCATCATACCATCCTACCCAGTCAAGGCAACCCTTTCTGGAAACATCTTTGAAACTCGGCCCCCTTCCCTTTCATCCACTGCTACCCACAACCCGGGCAGGGCCTCTTGGCCACATACACCTTGGCTAACCTCATCTCTCTCTCCCAATAGCATCCCACTCCTCCTTTATAAAGTGTTTCCCTGACCCAGCTACACCTCCAATCCCCTGACCTCTACTCCTGGCTCTTCCTTCCCCGCCCTGGCCCTCCCTCGTTCTGCGCTAATACCCCCTGCCTCATCCCAACACCTCAATCTCACATTCCCCAGAGCCTGTCACATTCCAGCCCACCACTGAACTTTTCCTGTCCAATACAGCATCCAGTAGTTAAATTTACATTTAGTGGATTAAACTAAAAAGCAAAGAAAATCAGTCTTCTCTGTTGGACTAGGCACATTTCAACTGCTCAGCAGCACACACCGCAAGTGGCCCTCATTTGGGAGGCACGACCGCAGAGGCTTCCCGCCAGCGCAGCAGGTTCTGAGGGACAGCACCACCCTCGCCCCGTGCCCAGAGCGGACCCGGCCGGTGTCACGAGCCAGCTCCCTGGAGGAGTCCCTGCCCTGTGGTCCCTGGCTCTCACCTGGACCGGGAACCCCACGTGAGGGGCCACTTAGCCCAGTGCGATGTGCAGAGTCAAGGCAGCTCTCCGTCGAGGAGGGGGAACCCACCTGGGATCTTATAAGCAAGCTAGAGACAGAGAAGACCCAGGCTCCCAACCCCCAGCGAAGCACCCTGGCCAGATCTGTCCCCTTTCTCTCTCATGGGCCCAGGACACTTGCCAACAATTCACATGTAATTACTCTAAAATTTTCACCACTCTGCAGCCTGTGGGGTCTGGGAGAGGCCACCAGCCCCAGCCTCGAGAAGTGCCCGTCTGGCAGGGCACCCATCCCACACAGCAGCATCTCCCCCTGGGCGCTGGGCCCTGGAAAGGGTGGCCAGTGAGGGCTGGGGGAGGGAGGCGGGCAGACTCACGTAGGTGTCATGGTCATACAGCTCCACCACGATGCTGGGCGGCTGCTCAGCGATGCTGCTCGGCTCGCCAAAGATCTCGATCTCGTAGAAGATGAGCGTCTGGTCCCAGGTGGGGTTCAGGGTGTTCTTCGCCACCACCGTCTTCTGGCTCTGGTGCAGGAAGGAGACGACTGCATAGGGATCTGTGTGGGCCGGGCACAGGGAAGGGAGACAGGACACAGCAGAGACCATCAGGAGTCATGAGGCCACAAAGCTGAAGCAGGGCTGTGGCTGCCGCTCTGGAACAGCAATGTCCGGGCTGGAGACGTATCCCAGGGGGGCTCTCCCCCTACCCCTGCTGGTGATGACCGCAGGGAGATGGGGCCAAGGTCCAGGAGAGCAGGCCCAGGGATCCAGAGAGTTTCCCCTCTGGGGTACTTTCTGAACTGGTTGCTGGGGGCAAAAGTCTAGTTGAAGGAGGTGAGACCCTGGATGGTACATTCATTTATTCATTCATTCATTCATCCAGGGCTTCCCAGGTGGCACTAGTGGTAAAGAATCGTCTGCTCATGCAGGAGACATACAAGATGCAGGCTCGATCCCTGAGTTAGGAAGATCCCCTGAAGGAGGGCATGGCAACCCACTTCAGTATTCCTGCCTGGAGAATCCCATGAACAGAGGAGCCCGGCAGGCTACAGTTCATAGAGTCACAAAGAGTGGGACACAACTGAAGCAACTTAACACACACACACACACACACACACACACACACACACATTCAAGATGGTTTGGAATTATTGACATTCATCCTGCAAGCATTTACTGAGAGCCATCTGCAGGCCAAGCTAGGGGCTAGGTGATAAAGACTGAGAACACATTTGGAGCAATACAAAAATCTATACAAAAAAAAACATAAAATTGCAATTTTGATCAGTAGAGTGGTGTGTAAGAGAGGAATCTAGCTTTCTCGAGAGGCAGAGTAGAGTGGAGAGGGAGGTTCCATTAGGCTGGCATGCCTAGGTCTGCATTTCGACAAGCTTAGGCTGGCTGTCACTGGAGAACAGACTTGAGGGGGCAGAAATGGGTGCAAGGAGAGCAGTTATGAAACTACTGCCAGGGTTCAGGCAGAGAGGGTGGTAGCATAGATGGGTGGGGGAGTTAAAGAGAAACAAAGGGATTTGAGGGCTGTTGAGAGCTGGGGGGAGGTGAGGAGAACCTCAAGATCCCAGCAGCTCCCTGCCACCCCCAAACTCCTTTCTAACCTGCCAGCCCCAGTCATGCTGGCCTGGGACCCACCAGAATCATCCCTCTGTCTGGTCCCAAGGCGTCACTAGAGAAGTTTCTAGGGCAGTGGTTCTCCAATGTGAGGATGCAGAGATATCACCTGGAAGGCCGGCCCCACCCTCAGAGACTCCTTCATCAGGCCTGGGGTGGGGCCTGAGAACTGACATTCCTCACAAGTTCCCAGGTGGTGCCGATGCTGCCTTTCAGGGCAACACTTGGGAACCAAGGCAGGAGAAGGGCCCATGGGACTGAGTGCATATAATCTGGGACAGGAGCGAAAGGCTGGGAGGAGGGGCTCTCCCAACTTCTCTCACTAGGGGGCAAGGTCCAGTAGCCATTCTGTAAGACTCAAAGTGCCAGGTGCTGAGGCCACGTGGACAGAGAAGTTTGAGGATGCAGGAGGCTGGATGCTCAATGCCTGGCAGGGCTGAACCCAAAGGCCCTGTCACATACCCTCTACACTTGGCACCTTCTCCATCCCGCAGCACCTTGCACCCCACAAGACGGCCCCTCTGTGACCTCAGATGGCCTCAACACCAGACATCTAGTGCCCAGATGTCCAGCTGGTTCTGGGACTGAGATGGGGAGACAGCTTTTCCCCACAGTTGGTGGGGGGGGAGGGGGGCGGGGGCCAAGCCAGGATCCCTGTCCATAAAGAGACCAGGCGGCATGCCACAGCCACTACACAGGAGGCCGCAGACGAGGAGGTGGAGAAGTTGAAGTGAGCAATAGGAGGACTCCCATCAAGGGACAGGTACAGGATTGTGGCTATTGCCCAAGGGGCTAATCTTAAGGGTGGGGGGGCGGATCTGAGTTAGGAGGCAGAAGCTATGGGCACTCACTGCCCAAACAAGGCTGGGTTTGGCTAATAGGAGGCAGCCAGCTGGCTAAGACCAGTTCGCAGCCTTCAGGCACAAAAGCACAGTGGGGTCAATCCTGGAGGGCTTCCTGTAGGAAATCAGTTTTGAAGCTGACTCTGGCGGTAGAAGAGGGCATCAGGAGGACCTTGGCACAAGAGGGGCCAGGAGAGACGTGTCCACCTCTCACCACCTCCACCTGGTGGAGGCCTCCCTGGCACAGGGCTCCCTTCCCATGCACCAGCCTGGCAAGGCTGCCCGAGCCGTTCCCTTCCTGCCCCTGGCAGGGCCCAGCGGCGTCTGTGCGTTTAATGAAACCGTCTGGCTGTGATACCATCAGCTCCAAGCTCGGCAGAGAACCTCTCCCCGGTTCCAGTAAGGGAAAGAGGGCGCGTTCCGATAAATAAAACCATATTAGAGAGCCAGCGAAAAAGCCCCTTTTGTTCCCGCCCCCTGTGCTTCCCAACGCTTTATTTTTATAAGCACGGGGGCCCCAGACCGACCGCGTTTACACAGAGATCACAATTGCACATTGTGGCGGCCGTGCACGCTGTATTGGTGTTGGCAGCACCCCCCACGCTGGCCCCCGAGCAGGCGACTCCTTCCAGCAGCCCCATCAGCGCAGGCAATGAGCTCAGCACGGGGGAAGGGAGGGGGCGGCTTTCAAACAAAAATCACCCAGACCCACACGCGCGCCCCGCCCGCCCAGGGGAGGAAAAAACACACAACAAAGGCATTGTAAGGAGCAGGCCTGGAGGCCTGGGGCCTCAGACACTGGGCTACTGTGTGCCGGGGCCTGGCCTCTCCCCGCACAAGGCCCAGCCCCTCGACAATGGGGGGGGGGGGGCTGGGGTGTTGCTGAAGCAAGGTGGTCAGATGAAGGGAAGCCAGACAGACGCACAGACACAAGCCTCTTCCAGGAAAGCCAGGAGGAGGGAGAGGCAGGTCTCAAGAAGAGGGGGAGGGGAGGGGAGAGGCCAGCTCTTCCCAGGGCCACGCCGGTAGGTGGAGGCTGGCATCAGCCTCCAGCCTCACCTGCCAAGCCGCACGGAGATGCCCCTGAGGCGGAAGCTGGATTGGAGCTCTGGAGGACCACAGGCTGTCCGGGGAGCTCCAGCCAAGAACACACAAGGGTTCTACAGGACTTCAACACCGTGGGAGGCCCCAGACAGGTGACTGCTGGACCTGCAGCCCTGTGCCCAATCTCTGAGACATTCCCTGCATACACTCCCTCCAATAGCTCAGACCACCAGGGTGAGGGACAGGACAGGCGGCATGGTACCCCTTGTTAGAAGAGGGGGCTTTGCCTCAGAAAGACTGTCTCCAGTGCCTGCTCACACGTGCCTGGGACCAGACTCCCCGGCTCCTAGTCACTGCTCCTTCTTCCTGTCACGGTCAGGGTAAAAGGCCCCTTAAGACGGGTGGAGTAGATTGCTAGTAAGCAAGGCAATGCAAAGAAAAGCTACAATACAGCAGTATTTTTCATATAAAATTAAGAAAAATTTGTTTAGATTTATAAAACCCAGTGCTGGTGAATAGCTGATGAAATAGGTATTCTCCTTTATTGCTGGAAGCAATTCAACAACCCTTTAGGAAAGCAATTGGGCTGTATGCCCTGAACAACATAAAACTGTTTACACCCTGTTTCCCATATTCCTGGGAATCATCCAAATTAACCAAAAAGCTATATGAACCAAGATGTTCACTCCAGCATTATTTGCGATCCATCACTCATTCAATATACAGTTATTGACTGACCAGCATGTGGTAGGTAAGCACAGTGCTTTGAATATGAAGGCGCATGAGACATGGTCCAGACTCTTAAGATCATGACTGCTGCTTAGAAATGGTAACTAAACATCAATTATAACACAAGTGATGTACAGCTGCCTAGCAAAGTGTTCAGGGCACTAGGGGTTGGGGTAGGCTCTGGAGCCTGGTGGCCTCAAGTCAGTTCTTCCAAAGGAGGCCTCCCCAAGTGTCAAGAATAAGGAGGTAACCAAGACAGACCAAGGAGAAGGGGGCGTCCAGGCACCCAGGACAGCATGGGCAAAGGCACCAAAGAGCACTGGGGGGGCAGCAAGCCTGTCTGCAGCGAGGAAGGGAGCGCCCTGGGCCACGAGAATAGAGGACGAGGGAGAAGGCAGGTGGGCAGACCACAAACGGTCCCGGATTCACACCGAGCTAGCTGGATTAAATCCTGTCGATCACTGCTTCCCAAAATACGTTCTAAGGAAGGCGAGCTCTCGGGGGAACGAAGGAACGCGTAAACAAGTTCAACAGGCTCCCTTCCTGCAGCCACCCCAGAGCCTTCCGTGCCACTGTGCATTGTAAATCGCTAAGTGTGCAGTGTTTCCCAGTCTCTCTCACTCAGGAACCCTTTTTAAGTGGAGCGTTTCACAAGCCTCCAGTGCCCCTTGGAAAATAGCTTCTTAAGCTCATCAGGAGAATTCCCCGAGCCAGAGCCAAACTTAACAGAAAGTTGTGCTTCAGAAGAGGGGGTGGGCTGTGACTGGAGTTCAGACAGAGGAAGCCCACAAGCAAGGACTCCCCAGCCCCACTCAGGACAGAGTCTGGACCTGGGGGCCCGCAGAGGTGACCTCAGCCAGGGGGCAACTTCAGTTCAGCAGACCTCACTGTGGCCTGGCCTGGCATCAACGCCCCTCAGGACCGCCCAACCAACACCGTGGGAGCTCTGACCTCCCAGGAACCATGAGACCAGCAAAGAGGACACTGGACTCTACTTTCTTGGCAGACACCCCACCCCCACAAATTAATAACTTGGCATTTGATCCACGAGCCTCTCGCTTTCTTCATTAACCAAGCCCAGTCCCTGAGCCCACTGACCCATGACCCTTGCAAGGAGGAATTTCCAGGGCCTCAAGCTAAGGGCGGTGCCCTGGACTGTGAGCTGCCCAGGGGTCCTCATCGTGGCGGCGGCTCTGAAAGCTGAGCCCTCAAACCACAAGGGCAGCTCTGGGCTGGGGGAGAAAGCAGAGAAGAACCCCCTGGAGTATAGCTGGGCAAAGGAGAGGACGTCCTCCCAAGCCTCTTTGAGAAATATCCGTCCACAGTGATGAGCAGCTCTGTGCACTGGCGAGGGCCACACTGCCGCCCATGATGCATGGCATTGAGGACGTGTGGTTTCTGAGTCTGGAGTCCTATCTTTTCCATTCTAAGTAGATCCAGTTCATAGTCCAGATGCTCACCCAGCAATGGCAACCCTATCCCAATGTAAGTCATCTGAAGTAAGCATCAGTTCACATTTTTTATACCTAATCACTGCCTCGGCCACACACACTCAGAACCACACAAACACAGGCCACACACACCCTTCCAGGGGTCCAGAGGATTGGTGCTGGCCCTCCAGGCAAACCCCACTGAGGCAAAATCCTCAGGCTCCCTGCACGGCAATATCGCCACAAGTCTCCCTCCCCACCTGAGTTCAGTGTCACTCAACAAGTGTTTCCGGGGCAATTCCTGTATGTCCCCCACACCTTCGGCCAAGGAGAGGAGAACAAACACAGCACCAACCTTGGGGCAGTCCCAAGGCCACCCCACAAGGGACAAGCAGAGGTCACAGCCCAGGGCCACGGGAGCCCCCAGTGGGAGAAAAAACAGAGGGCTTCCCAAGGAGGGCCCTCACGGCCGCAGACACCAGCAGACTGGCTGGCAGATGGGACCAGTGACAGACTCTGTGCCGCACTGGACCCTCCCCTGGCCCCAGACATGCCTGATACACACGGGAGTTTCCTCTGAGAAATGCCAGTCGGTGGCCATGCACAGCCTCCAGCCGCCAGCCACCCCAGGGTCAGTTCCAGGGGAGAAACTGCTTTGGTTTAGGGTTTGGGAGTGAAAATAAACACTCTGGGTTTTATAGATTCACCCGTGTTGGCTGCTGTTTTCCTTTCCAGCAGCTGCTCAATCAGGCCTTTCATTCAGAAGCCAGTGGCCTCCGAGGAAGCCCTGGGCAGTGCCCTCAAAGCTCAAGGGATGTTTATTTGGGGGCGGGGGTGGAGCTAGGATGGAAAGTGTGACGTCTCCTGCAGGCGGGACCAGGCTGACCCTGCCTGCGGTCCCCAGAGGTGCGGGTCCCCCAAGGGAGCTCCCCTCTTACAGGTCTGCCACAGTACGGCCCACGGAGAAGGGGTCCTCCACCTGCACCCCACTTCACTCCTCCCCCACATGCACCCCCACCTCTCAACTCTCCCCTGAAGGAAGAGGAAGCAAGACTGGGAATTAGGCCACTTCTCTTCCTCAGGGTAGGTGCTGAGTGTCAGAAAGCATCCTGGCCACGGTTCCCGGGCAACTGCAGTGGCAGAGATCGGCCTCTCACCTGCCAACACCCCTGCACTGTGCTTGCACACTCTCTCAGCACCCCAAACCCAAAGCACAGAAAAGAAATTGCTCCACCCACCCCACGTCCGGCTGCACAGAGCAAGAGCAAAGGTCACTGAGAGGAGGGGACGGGGAGTAGGTACAGCTGCTGGGGAGGAACCAGGGTAGCTCCCCAGGCCGGGGAGGAGCGGGGCCTGGAAAGGGGGATGGATGGGTGGTGTGAGCTGAGTGCCAGTCTATGAACAGAAAGTCACTCCCCCAGAGGAACTCAGTTCTACCCAACTAAGCACCAAGCGTTTGGAAGGGGGTACATCACTTGTCAGCTATTTCAGCTCAAGCAATTTAGTTAGCCTAGCTGAGTCGCAGTTTCTTCGTCAGTAAAATGGGGATGTTAAATGCCTACTTCATAGAAGAGTTGTAAGGGTCATACGAAATAACATCAGTAAAGTGCCCAGGCTCATAGTAAACACTCAGTGTTATTTCTTTAGCTATTAAGTGCTACAGGTTCAAGGTAAGTCAAGGTCTCTTCCTTGAGGAGCTCAGAGTCACAGTGGGAAGAATATGACAGAATATCATGGCAACTGATCTATGCAGCGGATAAGGGCTCTGAGAGAGGTGCTGGCAAGGTCCTGACCAAGTACTGAGGAAGGAACGACCAGCTCGGCTTGGGGAAGAGTCAGAGGGCATCTGGGCTGGGTCCTGAAAGATAAGTAGGAGTTCACTGGATTACGAATAGGGAGGAACTGTATTCTAGGCACTGAGTACAATGGCCAGAAACGTGGAAGAATTAGACAACGTGACAAAAGTCGGTGCAGCCAGAGCTTAGTGGAAAAAGGGCTAAGAAAAGATGAAACTGGTGAGGTCCACAGGGGCCAGATCACAACGGAGCTGTCCACCAGGCTAAAGAGCTCTGGACTTATGTGTTGTGAAAGTGAAAATGTTAGCCACTCCATCGTGTCTGACTCTTTGCGACCCTATGGACTGTACCCTGCCAGGCTCCTCTGCCCATGGAATTCTCCAGGCAAACTGTTGCCTGGAGCGGGTTGCCATGCCCTCCTCCAGGGTATCTTTCTAACTCAGGGATCACAGCCGGGTCTCCCACATTGCAGGCAGATTCTTTACCATCTGAGCCACCAACCAGGGGAAGAAGCCCATTTATGTGTTAGTATCTGTATGTTAGTTAGTATGTGTTTGAAATCAGGGTGGTGACATGACCAGAGCTGTCTGGGATGGTGTGGAAGGTCACAGGGAGGCCAGGAAACAACCAAAGGACTCAGATAAAAGGGGCATGGCCAGTGCGAGACAGCAGCCACGATGCTGAACCGGAGGGAACAGTCTCTGAGAGAGACTCGGGAGCCAGAATCAACAGAACTGGGCACCTGCTTGTTTCCAGCCTGATGGGTAGTACAGGCACATGTACGTGATGCCAGGACTGAGCTAGGCAGTAAAGGGGGGCCTGGATCTGGGGGATGGGGGCCCAAGCAGTTCGTTTTGGACAAGACGAACTGCGGTGATGCTGAGTCTTCCAGGGGAGACACCGAAACTATGGCTGGATATAAGGGGCTTCTAGAAACTGAAGACCTGGAAGACACTGGGGACCCCAGTGTCCAAAGAAGAGAATACCAACAGAACTCCCTGGGGTCATCAGACTCAGGGGGTAGTGAAGTGGTTGAGCAGGAACAGGTGAAGCAGGAAGCTGCAGGAGACCAGGAAAGAGGGCTGTCCCAGGGCCAAGGCCAGAGGGGCTTTCAGGGGACGATGATCAGTAAAGCCAAACCCCACAGAGGGGTCAAGGAGGCCCCTGCAACCAGGTGACACAGTGAGCTGACAGCGGCCCCCACCTCCACAAACACAGCAGACCACCACCCTCACAGCGCCGCCACTCTCGATACAGGGAAGCCCAGGCCATGTTCCCTGTGGGCCGAAGGCCCTACGACTGTTCCCAGCTCTCAGCCCCTGGCCCCAGCTCTCCCCACACCCCACACCTACCGGAAAAAGAGTCCTTGTCCATTGCAGGCAGATCCCGGGCCTGGTACATGTAGCAGCGTAGATGGTAGCGGTTCCCGTCTGCACCAGAGAAGAAATAGATGCCAAGTGAGGGGCTGGGGGTGACAGGATCTGGGGCTGGAGGATGGAGTGTGTCTCTAGGAAAGCAGTGGACAGACGGGCTGGATGATACAGACCACACGTGCCACACTCTCAGGATCAGGAGAGCAGACCACAGCCCAAAGGCAGAGCCACAAAGCAATGTGTCCTGGGCCCTGGTGAGCACTGGGGAGCGGGCAGGGAAGGGGGAAGAGGTCAAATGAACCTCAGGGACAGTCAGAAGGCACACTGCCTTGAATGCTGGACTTCAGGCTCAGCGTTGACACATACACCACACACGGACCCACACACAACACTGACCCACAAACAAAGCATACAGACTCAGTTCTCCACAGCCCCCACACACACACCTGATCCCATAACCCACACGGCCAGGCACGTAAGGGTGACCCACCCGTGTCACCCCTGTAGATACCTCCACACATCACTTACAGTCAAAGATGCAGGAGATCGTGGGTCTGTTCACACCAAAACTCAAGGTGGAGACGGACACGGAATCTTCACTCCTGTCATCCACCACGCCACCCTGGAGACACAGAGCTGGTCACAGCAGATTCTGACCCCGAAGGCTGGGGGTGGCAGGGAGCCTGGCTCAGATCGTCAGGTCTCCACGCTCCTTTAGACAAGGCTCCTCACTGCCTGAAGCTCTAATTTCACTCCAGACTCCAATGTCGAGTCCACAGGGAAAAGCCTCTCCCTTTCTAGCGGAGACCAGACAAGCCAGAAGGGGGTTTTGAGTTGTTCCAGCCCCAGAGGCTAGCGTTTGATAGAAGAAAGGACTCAAGGGGCTCTCTGGGGTGGGGTGGGGTGGAATCCACTGGGGATCTGCCCAGGGTGAGGGGTTATGGGGAGCCCAAGTTTGGAGGGCTTCAAACAGCATCTCTGTCCCCACCCCCGACTGGACACAGGGCTGGTGTGGGGACACACAGGCACTCAGCTGGGTGCCCAGCTCTGGAGAGAAGCTGCACTGTGTCTTCTCCCATCTCTTACCAGCTCCCACTGTGCTGAGGGTCAGAGGCGACTGAGCCTGGGGACAAGGGCATGGTTGGGGTGGGGGGCATTGTTTACATTCAGGCTCAGAAGCTCTGCATCAAGCTAGATTCTCAGTCCCCTGCCCTCGTTGGCGCTGGGCTCTAACCACTGGGATTTCCCTGGACCACACTGCACGGTGCCCTGCATCCCTCCACCACCGCCTCTGCCCATGGCAGCCCCTCATCAAGGATGAGCCCCAGCAGGAGTCAAGGCCCCCGCAAAAACATTTCCCCCACAGGAAATGTGCCACTCACACGGCAGCCCGCCCTTCCAGACCTGGTCTTCTAGGACATCAGTTCCACCAGCCTCTTGAGGCAGGAGCCCAGCAGAAGGGCCAGGGAGAGCTGGACAGCCTTCCTCTGCCATCCACTCCCTCTGCACAGCCCTTCCCCTCTCCCTACACTGTCACCTGCCCCAGTCCCTCTTCCCAACACCCAAGCATGCCCACCCTTGAAAGAAAACCCAGCCTCCCTTCCCATGGCCTTTTCACCCCACCCAGGCCCACCCAGAGTAGCCACTCCCCAAGGCCTTTCCGCTGGGCCACACTGCCCTCTGCCCGGCAGCAGCCAGTTCCCAGGAATCTCCACCACTCTCCAGGCCCTGCAGCTACACCCCCACCCCCCACCCGCACCTCCAAATACAAGAGGCGCGGACATTGACGAGCTCCTCCTCTCCAAACCATGGCTACCCTCAGGGCCTAGCCCCAGGCCCCTGGTCCAAAACACCTCCCTGGATACCTGTCCCCTTCAATCATGTCCTACTCTTTGTGACCCCATGGACTGTAGCCCACCAGGCTCCTCTGTCCATGGAATTCTCCAGGCAAGAATACTGGAGTGGGTTGCCATTTCCTTCTCCAGGGGATTTTCCTGACTTGACCCAGGGATCAAACCTGGGTCTTCTTCACTGCAGCCAGATTCTTTACCATCTAAGCCACCAGGGAAGCCCTAAGTATCTGCAAGTGTGGGAGAGTTCTACAGTATCTGTCTCACAGGGCTGCCTGATTGTTAAGAAGATAAATTATATGCTGTGTTGGCACAAAACTTGGCACATAATAAATCAATAAACATTTGCTATTAATGATCTTATGAGAGAAATAAAGCATGGGGTGGGGTGAGGGGAGAGGTCATAAACTATGAAGTCAGTAATTGTGCTCAGGGGTGGTATTCATATATCCTGTATTTGTTCAAAATTACTCCAGGAGCTGGAAAAGTGGACATTTCAGCACAAAGCCACAGTCCTGGGCAGAAATCAAAATCAGTGAGTCAAGCAGTCAGTCTCTACACACACAGACACACACACGTGTGTGCGCACACATACACATGCACACACATGCATGCGCGCACACATGCACACACACATGCACGCGCACACACATGCACACATGCACCCACATGCGCACACGCACGCACACACATGCACATACATACACACATGTGCACACATGTGCACATGCATGCACACGCATGTGCACACACATGCACGCACCCACAGGACAGCAGGGAGGGTGTCACACAGCAGACAGATGAGAACCCAAAAGCCACCACACTTAGAATCCTCGCTCTCGGCAGGTGTGAGCCCGGCCTTGCAGCACCGGCCCCGCCACCACCCTTGCCAAGTCCAACAGCTAATAGGTCTGGTCTCAGGGTCCACAAGGCCACAGGCGGGGCCAGACTAGGGGCCCATCAGGTGCAGGGACACCAAGGAAAGCAGGTCAGGAAGCTAGAAGCAGGGTATGGCCAGCCCCCAGGGCCACAAGGCTCAGCGCCCCCAGCAGCTCATACACCTTGGGGTGGGGAGGCGGAGAGTTTGGAGGGACTCTGGAGCCCCTCATCTCAGCCAGCCACACACACATATGCACTCCACTCACAAGCAGGGCGCTGAGGTGAGTGTCAGGAGGGAAGCCACCTCTGGCGGCCATAGGCCCCATGATTCCTCTCCCCCCTCAGGGATCTGCAAGAGCTGTCCATGCCCCACTGAATGGCCTGTGCCTGGGGCTTTGGCAGCACTTTCTGGGTCTCTGTCCTAAGGCACGGCCGCCTGCCTGTGATGAAAAAAGCGTCCTCCTCCCTGGGGTTTCCATGAAGGCTGGGGTCAGGTGCCTCAGAAGCAGCTTGGTCCTGGCCCACGGCAGGCCCAGCACCGACAGCGACACCCTTCAGAGGGAGAACTGCGCTCCTCCAGGAATGGTCCTCACGCTGCTGAGGCTCCTCCACCTGCCCAGCCTCCAGAAGGGGCCCACAGCCATCCACCCTGGTCCACAGGGCCTCTGTCCACCCCCACCCCCATCTGCTGCCCAAGGGTGGGAAGCAGCTGGGAGAACCAGGGCGACAGACTCACCTAGAGCCAGGCTGAGAGGCCCCCACTAAGCCCAGCGCCCCCGAGGAGCTCCAGTCCTGAAGTCAGCCTGGTTTCCACACTGGGCAGAATTCTACCCACACAGCAGCCAGTGTCTTTACATCCTCCGGCCCAACGACTCTCTCAGGGGCACCTGAGCTCTTCACGCGTCCCCTTCAGACCCTGGGAGCAGAGTGGGGGCCAGCCCTCCTCCCAGCCCAGCTGCAGCTTCTGCATTGAGTCTGCAGCGGTCAGGACACTCACTCCCAAAGGCCCAGAGCCCTGCTGCCTCCACACTCAAACCAACCCCAGGGTCCCTTTTCTCACCCCAGGCCCCTTGCACAGTGTTCCCTCTGCCCTGCTCTTTCCCTGCCTTTTTCCTCAGATGTCCAGTCTCACCTTCAAGGTCACCTTGCTGGGAGTTGGGCACCTCCCAGGTGCTCCCACAGAACCCCACATTTTCTCCTTACCACATATACCACCTTCCACTGTAAATCTCTATTTCTTTCTCTGCCCCTTCCACAGAGAGCTCTGGGCAGTTCCCACCATGCACCCAGCATCCAGCAGAACCCTCACCCACAGCGGTGCTCAAGGAGAAACTGGAGGAAGAGTGAATGAATGAATGATTGAACACACACCTTTCTTGGGAGAGCTGATGATGAAGGCCAGCCCATCGCCCAGGTCAGGGGCTCAAGCTGTGCATTAACACAGATAATCCAACACCACACTTATTCCACTTGGAAGAGTACTTTCGGCTTTCACGTGTGGACATACACAGGTCACGTTCAGGGAATTTCTCTCAAAGCAGACCATGAAGCCTCATGAAAAGCTGGTTTGGGAACTTCTGGGAAGCGTCTCCCTCCCGCCTGCCCTCCCCTCTGACATTCCGCTTGTGTTTATTAAACACGTACTTTGTGCCAGGTCTTTCCCACATTCAAGTTGGAAAAGAGGTACTGCTGCTTGTGGAGACATCAAATGTCACCTCCCCAGAGAGGCCATCCCTGTCCAAATGTCAAAAACCACACTCACATCCACACCATCGCACACCCACCCACACACCCCAAGCCCACAAACAAGCCCTCTTCTTTCTTCTTCAGCTTTCCTTTTCTCACAGCACTTACTATGCTGCATGCTTGCTATATGAACATTTTTGTTTCTTGTCTCTCCAGGCTGTAGAATACAGGCTCCACAAGGGCACTGCTGTGTCCCCAGGGCCTGCTACAATGCCCGGCACAGAGAAGCCCTCAGCAAACATTTACTGATCAAGGAATAAAATCCAGTCACTCTATGAGTGCCTCTCCTATCTCATACTCACCCATTTTCTGTAGAGAATTGTTTGGGGCTAAAGAAAATTTCTGGGTGGAGACTGATTTGAGGGATGGATACCCTGAGATAGCAATGGTGTCGGCAGAGAGGAGAAGCAAAGATCAGTGGAAGTTCAGCAGAGATGGCCCAAGTTGCCACCGTCAGCATCCGTCCTCACCTTGGAATCCTGCCAACACCTTACCACCTCACAACAGGGATTGTCTGTTCTCAACACAGGCAAACTATGGCACCGCCAGGTAACCACCATGGGGCAGAAAAGTGACCTGCAGTTCCCTAACACTGCGGTGCACGTGCGTAGAGTAGGCCATCAGGGCAACTCATTTATTTTATAGACCCTGACGCTCCAACACAAAGAACATCAGCCTGTCAGCCCCTGGGCATCGAGCTCCACGTCATGTACCGGGAAGTTGTGGGGAAGGTGCCTGCAGCTCACCATGTGGGTCGGAGGAGGCAGCTGGAGATGCCACCGGAAAGTCCAGTTCCTAAAACTCTGATTCCTCACCGTGAAGTGGCCATCATGGTAACACTCACCTCGATGGGCTACTGAGACAAATGCAGGGGTTTCCAGTCTTGGCAGTACTGACATTGGGGCTGCATACCTGTTACGGGGGCTGTCCTGCGCATTGGATGTTTAGCAGCATCCCTGGCAGCTACACATATGATGCCCCCAGCTGCCCCCAGCCGTCCACTGTAACAACCAAAAATATCTCCAGACACTGTCAAATGTCCCCTGGCAGTAGGTGTGCGATATAAATTGTCCTCAGCTGAGAGACACTGGTGGAAATAAAATGAAATGTACCCATGGCCCTGGACAAGTACCTGGCACATAATCAG